AATGTGTTTTTTTTTTAAAAAAAAAAGGTAAGGGGGGGCCGGGTTTTTTTTTTTTTAAAAAAAAAAAAAAAAAAAAAAAAAAAAAAAAAAAAAAATCAGCTTTCCCACACAAGTGAAGAATCCATCATTGCATCACCTTTCATGTTTCATCTGATTGTTGCATGTTCAGCGTTTCACATCTGCCATGTTGCCGCCTGTATTTCCCAGGACGCTCTTGCAAAAAGAGGTCAAAATAAGTTATTAAACTTAATTAGAAAAATAAAACCTTTAGCTCTCCGTTCAGGTTTTTGTGTTCAAAGAGCCGGATGCTGGAAAACAAAGTTGTCCCTCTAGTTGTTTTATTACCTCAGCGTAATGAGGCGGTTCTCTGAACTCTGCTGTGAGAAAGATTTATACTGCCTGTTTACAGAAAAAAAATCACTTCCACCAACAGCAGGCCAACAAATCACTCAATTCAGAGTCTCAATTCCTCTCCCTCCTGGTTCTGCTCCCTGTTTGACGGATTGAAGAACAAAACACTTTGGTAAAAATAAGAGATCCCTTTTACTATGCTGACTCAGTGTTGAAAGTGCATTTGTCAGAGTACGAGACAAACATTAATGCAGCTTAGACCATTAAGATGAGACAGATAAATATGAAACCAGATACTTTTTCCATTACGCTGGGCCTTTTAAAAGACATTTCAACCAAGTTGAAATTTGACCAAGTGGGGAAAAACTACTCGTGGGAGCACCAGTTTTCCTACAAGTCAATCCGTCAAGTATTCAGTAACTTCAAACTTAAATATTAACTTCTGAAAATGCAGGAACTGCTCAGGCTTCTCCATCTTATAAAAGCTTAAGCTAACATTAAGCTAATGAGTACAAAAGAAAAAAAACAAAAAAAAAACAATGGTAGATCTATAACAACTGGTGTGATAATTCTGCAGGAAATGTGATTCACTGCCGACCTTGTGAGGATGTTCAGCAGACCGTTGATTGAGTCATTATTGTTCTGGTACACGACGGAGGATGCTGGGGGGTTTACTTTGAGCAGGACTAGAACGTTCGACCAGAAATGGCTTCAGATGGAAGCTGAGGGTCAACTCGGTCAGAAAATCACAGGAAATTATCTTTACGTCGTCTCTAATGCGACTCTGCTGCTGTTAAATAAAGCACCCCAGCTGAGAGTCCTTCAGGTGGTTTTTTTTTATTATTATTATTCAATATCAATATCCACAGCACAATCAAAAATACAGGTGTCCTGCAACTTTTAGATACGTCTCTACTTCAATACATCCAAGTCAAATAATGAGGCCTTTAGAGAACTTGACTGCATGCTAAATAGGTGATTCAGTATCTAAAAAGTTGCTGAATCATTTGTTTTGAGGAACCCCGCCATATAGATTTAAAGTTATCTTTTATTTGACCAACATGGTGCTTCTTCATGTATACAATGTTGCTGTTCTGGAGCAACCAGCTCATCAAAATAACCAGTGGAAACCTGCAAAAAGCTGGAACTGATTGTTGTAATACCAGAAATGTTTGTTTTTTTCCCCTCCACTGACTATCGTATAATTTTTCTTTTTTTCTTTTCAACAAACAAGTGATTTTCAATAAAAGTAAAAATTGAGAATACCATTCAAAATGCCTTTCACGTCGTTTTATCATCTTTTGAGACGTACCCATCTCGTTTGCCAGCAGAAACAAACCTCTTGGTTGAATAATTTTGAGTTTAACTGTATTGGTTTTGAGAAAACCAGGTAGAGTTGTAGAACACATCTAGAACTTTATCACAACGTCATAGTAGATTATTATTGATTCCACAGCTTGGCAGCGAATGTGGTAAACTGTGTGGTACTTTATGGTCCAGCTATAGCAGACCTTAAGTAGCTGAAGCAAAACAAGCTCTGACAGCCCTCAGTGCACTTAACTTTAATTACTCAAGCAGCGATGTTGTTTTTCCTGATGAAATAATTGTGTCTTTAAACTCTGCAGTGTTTATTGGATGTTTTCGTTTCTCTGTGAATGATCTCAGACATTTTAAACCTGAGATTTTAGCCTACAAATGACCTGGTTTATTAGTTTTAAAGGGGATATAAAGTAGAAAACCATAAACCACTGACTCTACCATGACATCGTAGACCGAACTAGATTTTAGGGGTGTACTTTCTTTATATATATATATATATATATATATATAGCTTCACTGTAAAATCAGTCTTTATGTTAGGGAATTATTTTTGCTGCACGTTCCATTGACGTGGATTTTTTTACCCGGTCCGATGAAGTGCCTATTTAATTCTGGTAGGAATTACATGTAAATGGTTTAGTGTGATGCGCGCATGCAACAAGGTTTCTGTGTCCTCCGTTTCTCTATCTTAATTTAAAAAGATAAATAATAAAGGTGGACAGTTCTAGAAGATGTTAAAGCTGCAAACAATGGAGAAGAACGACAGAAGAGGTGAATGAATGGACAGATTATGTATGACAAACAGGTGAATATAAAGTGGTAAAATTGAAGGATAGACAAATAATTGATGGTCAAACAAATTGGCAACAGAAATGGGCTGACTGGTTGGTGAACAATTGATGGGTTGATGAATTGACTGAATAAAAGCTTCAGACAATAAAAACTGAAAAGCATACGCCAGGCTCTCAGGCCCAAAGACTCTAAAAAGTGTTCATCCTGCTTTGTTGGCATAAGTGTCACAATCACATGAGTAAGACAAACAAAAATAATGTTACTAGTTTGGTTTGGTTGCAGGGCCGTATTGCTGGAGGAAGGCCAGTGCGTTTAAAATGTCCGGTCAGGGAATCATTTACTGCCGTCTTTAAACAAGAAGTTCACACCAAAACATCCAGGAGAAGAAGTCCGGGTGTGCAGCAGCAAATATGATACAAAAACACACTTACACAAATGCATGCTGCTGATGATCTTTGTGTCATTTAATACGTATTTTGGCTTTGTTGCATCACATTCTCTAGAAACAGTAAGATAATACCGGAATGAACAGCAAAATGTTGGGTAATGCCGAAAACTAGAAAGAGGAAATGAAGAAAAGCCTGACGATTTATTTTTTCTCCCCCCTCTCCTCAAACTTCATTTACGAAGTTGGTGTATTTTTGAGAGCAACTATTCACGTGGATTTATTGCATCATTAACTAATTAATTCCCGTTTTATTATTTCCTTTCACGTTTCAAACTGGTGGGCGACATTGCAAATTAAATCCCACGGAGACGTCGGCTTCAAAATAAGACCGTATTGATCAGAGCGGATTGTCGTAACGTGACCAGTTAGTTCATTTCAAGAATCCCAGGGAATTCCAGCTCATCGTCATGGCGCCTGCTAGCTGTCAGCTAATCTAGGATTCAAGGTTTTCCTGCGACTCAACCTCCACAATCCCTCCTCATCACCGTTTCACAGCGACACTTCAAGTCAAATAATTTCCTTCGTTTATTTTAACTCCACGTTCTCGTTTAATGTTACATTGCTGTTAAAATGACTGCTAAATGCAGATGTAAACACGGAGTGTGGCGTCTGCTAGGGAGCTACTCACCCAGAGTTGCTGAGACAAAGGGGAAAATGAACAAAAGCCGCAGGGATTTGGTGAAAGCCATCCTGTTCTGTCCGAGCCCGGCTGGTCCTCAACCTTTTACGACACACCAGAAGGACACGTAGCGCTGGACATCTGAGAATTACGGGAAAGACACGGACTTCTCGTCTCACTGAACTGGACCCATCTGCAATGGGAGCTTTACTCTGTTCCAGTTTTGGGAGGAGCTAGCCGTGGAGCTAATAAGCGATGACCACATGTTGCGTTTAGGAAAGCTTGTAAATGTCGGAATCGTGTTCTGGGAGGCGGGGGGCAAAGGCGAAAGTTCAGTTTAATTGGGAAAGAGTTTGTCATTAAACAAGAAAAAAAATATCAAGAAGTTTAGGAAATGTTTGGGCTCATTGCGTACAAATATAAAATATAATTCATAAGTTCTTTTCTTCTTCTTCTTCTTCTTCTTCTTCTTCTTCTTCTTCTTCTTATTATTATTATTATCATTATTATTATTATTATTATTATTATTATTATTATTATTATTATTATTATTAGTTATTTTCATTTCAGAATATTATTAATTACAGTTCTTATCCGATTCAGTTGTACTGACTCAGATAATGTTTCAAGCAGTGTTTGCTTTTCTGCGGCTCTTGTTGTAAAGACATAGCCATTAAGACTATAATGAGCTTTTGTAGCATTTTTTTAACTTTCCTTTTATTAGCACCTCTATAACTTTTCCAAAATGTCATAAAGCCACTTTTTTAATTCAGTCTTTCAGCCCCTATTAGAATATTCTTATTAAATGGTAACTCGCCTCCTTCAAGTACTGTGTGAAGAAAGTGTGTTATAAAACTGCATGCTTAGCTGAGTTAAAACAAAAAAGATCAGATTTCATTTTTACTCACATATTTTATTGATTTTATCGATGGTATTCTTTAGAAATAAACAAAAAGTCAAATTTCAACAAATGTAAAGTCAAAGGTTGCTTTTGTCTCACCAGCTAATGGTCAGTAACCATAATTTAAAAGTATTTAGTCAGAAGGTTTAAAAGGGGGGGAGGAAAGAAAACAACATGAGATGCTAAAGAAAAAAATAATTAAAAAGACAGAAATGACTGTAAGACATTACATTGTAATAATGACGCAGCAGAATGACTCGTTTCACCTCAGAGTGACCCACTTCACTACCCTTCTGCTTGGCATCTCGTGAATTATTTTTTAACAGTTTAATTTGAATACTGATTAATCCGAAAGCACTTGAACGCACCGACAACAGCACTAGTTCATTTTTCTTGACGGGAAATCACCCGGTCTTCCAGGAGATAACGGACGAAAAGATCAATTCCCCAAACTACCAGGAACCATTTTTATGTAAATTTCTGTAAGCAAAACGGTTTCAGAAAATCTGTTTATCTTTAATACAACAGGGAAAGTCCAATTTTGACACTGAAAGCGTCATAATATATGTAAAATAAATAAATAAAAACCTTATTTTTTTCTCGTAAGCCTGACAAAAATGTGCCTGACTCATCTGTTGTGGCTTTATACAAAATATTAAATGGATGTGGGATATGTTTGCATTCAGCTGTGAAGAACCTGAACTTCATGAGCTGATTCCCGCTTCCTCTGAGGGATACATCCCACATCCTGACGTCAGCTGGATGTGAAAGTTTTTCTCCCCACTCCAGCGTCCAGCTGACGCATTCACTTATCTGCTCCACACCAGGAATTTGAGGTAAGCAAGAAACCCTGGATTTTGGTGGGGGAACTTTGTTGTCTGAATAATCTTGAACTTACATCCATGCTGTTGCTGTTGTTTTGACGTAAAGATGTATTTATGTCAAGCTGAAACTTTATGAGAAGATTTAAAGCCCAGCCTGCTGTGTACTCTCATGTTACAGCACTCAGCATTCCTCTTGTTGTGTTATGCAATGCAGACTTTCTGTTCACAGAGAAAACAGCTAAAATGCTGGACTCACAGAGGATTTCTCACTCTCTGGTTGCATGTAAATTCGGCTGATGGATACATTGGGAGTGCTAGGACAGCACAGATGTTGTCCCTGACTAACACAGTGACTGTTTCCTAACATCCCCCAGAAATAATTGCAATACCAGATATGAACGGTATTCATTCACTTCTATGTGAAATGATTTTGTCAGGAAGCTCTTAGAAATCTGCAGAAATCCACATTTCTATCAAGTGCGGAGAACAATTAGTGGTTGATGTTGAAACATCTTCATTTTCTAGCTAACCCTCTTCTCAAACATCAAATGGTTTGATAATGTTCCTCAACGTTCTCAAACGCTATCTGTGGACTAAAATGTCAAGATCTTAAAAATGTGAAAAATTGAGGAGTTTTAAAGAAAAGTGTATTGTGGCATTTTTATAAGGATAGTTCCTAGATTAAAATTTTTTGATTTTTTTATTCCATGGTCATCCAGAGTTTCCTGCTCTTAACTGTGTTTGGTTTTTACAACAGTGAAGCTCACGTCTTTCTAGATTATTATTGTTTGTTTCAAAATAGCGGTTAAAAATCTCTGCGAACTGAGAAATGTAAGCCTTGACCAGTGCCAGCTGTTGATCAGCCAATCAGAAACGAAAAAGATATACATTTTTAAATTCTGGTCAGTGGATGCAACATCCGTGCAAGCGAGCAGGTAGCTCTTGAGAGCGACACTCTTCTGTGTGGAAGTTGTTAGAAGAGGACTCAAACAGAGACTTATTGAATTAAAGGTCAATTTTCCACAGAACTATCTTGACTGTTCAGGTTTGAGCTTTACAAAATCAATGGAAATCTTCCCCACGCTCTCTGATGGGTGCATTTCTTGTTACAACTCTCAACCCTTCTGTCATTACTTTGTATTTTACTTCCAATGAGCAACATTTATATAAAAGTCTATTTTCATTTGTCTTTTCGTTGAATGAAAAGTGCTCAAAAGTATCCATTTTGTCATTCAGCACGATAGTGATTCAAAAAACAATGTTGCTTCTTTTGAGGCACAGATTATCATAGCAAGACCTGGATAAAGGAGATAACAATTAAAGATAAGTTAAGAATATGAATGTTCTTCAAGAAAACAAGAGAATTCAGGATTTCCCCCAGTGTTTTATAAGCCTGGCGGGCCACCAGGCTTTACTTGTGCCCCCACGAGGCTAAACATTGCTTATTTTTTTTAATGTTTGCATTTTTTAAGACTTTATAGTTAGTGTTCAGCCATTAATCTTCCAATCTTTCAATAACACATAATTACCAAATTATATTTTCAAATTTCCTGTCAACTTTAAACATTTTTTAACTCTAAAACACGACGGACTACTGGATGAATGACTGCCCTGGCATCCGACCACCGGGCTTTTGCAAGTTTTCTTGGGGAAACCTTGTGAATTTTTATTAACAAAACAAGTAAAAAATTACAAGACTTTCATTCTAAGGCCTGCTAGTTTTGAGGAAGAACAGTGGTTAAAAAAAAAAAAAAAAAGAATTACATATGGAGAAAAAATAGCTTGTCTTGATATATTAAACTTCAAATGTAAAATAAAGTGTGGCTTACGACTGTTAGAAGCTTAATGTAAAACTTTCAGGAAACCATCACATTACTTAACCACAACTAAGATGGTTAATGAAAGTAAAACAAAAAGACATTCTGTGTTTCCATTTGGTCTGACCTGAGGTGGTTCTGCTTTTAGGACGGATCAACACCTTGATTGGTTTTGCTTGGTTCCTGTTGTGACTTGAGAGTAACACACGTCTGTCTCTTGTTCTGTTCCCACGACTTTAACGTGTCCCGTGTGAAACCGTGCTGCGTTACCCAGAGCGTTGTGTTACTTACTAAGCTCCAGTGGATAACACATTGAAGGCTCGTGTTTACAAGTCCATCCGCTTCATCTGATGATGCGTCTGATAAAAGGTTCATTCTGATGAAAACTTAAGAGGTTTCTCAGAAAGCACATTTTCTGAGAGACTCTAATGGCCCTCAACTCACCACTGCAGTTAGTGTGTTCAACAGTGAGCGCCGGTCTTGCCAGGATTTTCAGGAAAAGATTGCTTTTTAGGTCAATATTGCACAATGCTTTATTTAGCTTAACTGTGTGGGTTCTTCAAAGTGTGCACATTTCTGTTGAAATACTTAATGAGACACTTTTAAAACTTCTAAGGTGACATATGTTCTGTTTAAACATACTTGTAAATAAGCTAAGTTATTAGGTGAGGCGGAATAAAAATATCAATAACCTCATTTTACCCCCATAGACTAACACACAGCACCCAGTCTGCTTTGTTAGGAGTCTGCCAGTATCCCACATCTACATTTGTTAATATTTGCCCAATATCCCTTGCAAAACTTCTCCAAATCTATCAGATGTGTGAGGACATCTCTTCTCCACATCCCTCTTTTGTTGTTATAAAATGCTGTGGTTGAGATGGACACAAGCCCAGAAACGCAAATGATCACGTTTGTGTGTGTGTGTGTTTTTTAAAGAAAAGATTTACAAAAATTGAGGAACAGATTTGAGAGAAACGGAAATGCGAACAAACTGGAAATACCCGAGCACTCGGCACGAAGGGAAGCTGACATAGGGGATTATAGTCGACCCCTATGCCAAAAACCTGGGGAGCAATCTGATGAAGCTGACGGGGTTTCAAACTATGGGGAAGAAGGATAACGCAACCAGGTTTAAGAAGGACAGAGCAGTGAAACTGATGGAAGTCGACAGAAAGCACAGAAAGGAAAACAGAGAGAACAAAACAGGACAAAAAAGAGTCACACTAAACAAAGAGATTCACATGATTCTCTTTACTAAGCGTTGTTTACATTTAGCTTGACGCTGTTTCAGGTGAGCAGTAAAAGCTTAATGTATCGCTATTGGAAAACACTGCCGAAAAGTTTTGTTTGGTTTGAGCCACCTTTTTTTCTTTCCAGCGTTACTTTATTTAGATTTATGAGAAACTATAACATTCCCAAACAGAAGGCTTCAGCAAAAGCTGAATGTTGGGCGAAGCTAAATGAAGTTCTGGCGCCACTTCTTAAAAGCTTCAAGGCCGAGTTCATACAGTTTTCAGTACAACATGCATGGCAAATCTAAAAGCCTGTACCAAATCTTTAAAAAAAAACATCAGTCATATCCAGATTTTTGTGTGCCCTTCTCCTGACTGATACCTTTGCACAGCGATAGCCTCTCCCCCAATAATGCTTTTAACTCAACAATGAACATCAGCAAATGCCAGGAAAGTCTTACAACAAAAGATAAAGTTTATTTCAAATGAATGAAATTCAATATAAACATTGTTATGTGTAAGAGAACCTTCAAACCAGAGAATTTTGAATAAACAGGCCAGAG